GGGGAAAGTATGAGCTCTCAAATTAAAAAGGTCCAGGGTCTAACTTCAGGCATAGCTGGATCAAGGGCCCCCAAAGATGTCCCCAAGACCCTGTCTCTGCTCCTCTCTCCTCCTCAGCTCTCCTTTCTCCTGGGCTGGCTTCCTCCTCAGGCAGCCTCTCCACAAGCACAAACTCCTCTCTGCTCCCAGCTGCTCCAGGCTTATCTGCTCCCAGCTTGTCTTCCTCAACAGAAGAACAGCTTTCCTCCCCTAGGAGGACTGACTCGCATGGACCCACACTGGGTCACGCGTCTATCCCTGAACCATTCTCGGGGGCCAGGGGAGTAGAATATGCTATTTAAGCTGCGGAGGCAGGGGTACGGTGGCTCCACTGAACCACCCGGCCTGAGGGTGGCGCGGGGGCAGCTCCCTAAGGAAAACCAGGTGCTGTTACCAGGAAGGGAGTGGATGCTGGGCAGGCAGGACCTGCGGGGCTACCCAGGGGTCAGCTCAGTGCATGCAGGGAAGAAGGTGAGGTTCAGAGAGGATGGCAACCAGGCAAGCCCCCACCAGGGCCGGGCAGAGCATGCTGGGGCTGTGACATGGAGGTGACCTCACCATCATGTGGTTTTTTTGTGGGTTGCGGTGGCTGTGGTTCTCACACCTTGTCCCAGCCCAGTCCCTCTGTGAGTACACCCCTAGAAGGGGAGTGACGGCCCAATGGCCTTGGAGAGCCTGTTTTTCCTCTCTGGGCCTCAGTTTGCTCAGCTGGAAAGTGGGATGAAAATGGGGCTCCAATCACTAGGGAAGCACTTCTCACCCGCCACTGCACCTCCCCAGCAAGCAGTCTCCAAATCAATGCCATGGGGTGCGGTGGGGTCTCAGGACCCTCTGGATCCTGCGTGCCTCTCCCAGCCCCCAGCTGGCTCACACAGCAGCCACATGCCCCAGAAGTCGCACTCGGCCTCTGCTCCCCAGGGCTGGTCCTCCCGCCTGCTTGAAGGGTACAGCTTCGGAGGTGACCCAACCTGTGGGCAAAGCCCGGCTGGCAGGGTGGCCCCGGCTGCACTACTCAGGCTCTCTGGGCTTTGTCAGCTCCTTGAAGAGGGGGAAACAGGCGCTTCTCCAGGCCTCACAGGACTTGGGCACCCCACTCCCGAGGACAGTGAGTGCCCGGCCCATGCTGCCGTCGTTGTGGTCCCTCACAGCCATCTCAGCTAGGTGTGCAAACCCCACAGGCAGCTGCTTCAGGAGGGGAATCCCTGGAAGCACAGCAGGGGATGGAGGATGTGAGACAGTGAAGAGAAGGGGGAGTCATGGACTCAGGGCACCAGCGCAGGGCACGCACCCCAGAGTGACTGCTGAGGGCGGCGAGGAAGGGGCGTCTATTCCCTAACTCCCTTCCGGCCTGCTGAGGGCTGTCCTGAGGTGTTAGCTCCCTGGCCCTTCCTGGCTGCCTATGCACTGGCTGCGACTGCGCCAAAGTCCAGACAGGAAACGCTCTCGAGGGCTGGGGACTGGCAGTGAGCGGTCTCTTCCTGCGCCGAAGGACACTGGCAGCCACCGTGTGCCACTGCCAGGTGAGCGGCCAGGCACGGCACCTCCCTCACTGTGCCCATCTCTTCTCCCCCCGAGCCCTCCGGCCTAGACCTGCTCCACTGAACCCTCAAAACCACGGCTGCTGCTCCCCACAACACCCTCACTTGATGTGGAGCCAAACGATGGGGGTGGGTCCTGTACTGTCACTCAACACATGTGTGCACATGTGTCTGGGTGCACATGTGTGTGTACCTTTGGGTACATGGGGTGTGTGTGCACGTGTCCATCTCCACATGTATGTATGTGTGTGCACATGTGTGTGCCTTGGAAGGTAATTGTGTGTGCAAGCGTGTCTCCGTGTGCGTATGTGCATGTAGTGTGTGGGAGCCAGGGTGTGTACGTGTATATGTGTGATGGTGTGTCTGAGAATGAGTGTGTGTCTGTTTCTCTGTGTGCATGTATCCCTGAATACCATTGAGTGGGAGTGTCTGTGTATAGCACATACATGTTTACGTGTTAATGTGTCTGTGGATGCATGTCTATGTGGATATGTGTATCTATGCATAGGTATGCCTGTATCAGTGTGTGTGTGTGTGTGTCTGTGTGTGTGTGTGTGTATGGGGGGCCGGGATAATGTGTGTTAACGTGTATATAGACACAAGCATACATCTGCATGCATGTGTGTGTGCGCATCTGGCCCTCTGGGCACCAGGCCTGTGCCGGCTGCTAGGAATACAGTGGGTAAGACAGAAAGTCCCTGCCTTGGGAGGACACTCACAACCTTCTTGCACAGTGAGGCTCAAGGCCAGGGCAGGCCTGGCTGGGCTCAGCCTGCATGTCTGGGCACAGCCCGGCCACCTCAATCAGGCCCACGCCCTTCAGCTCCAGGCAAGCCCCTCACCGCATCTCCTGGGGGTCCAGGCAATGTGGGCTCCACTCCTAAGCATCTTGGTTCATCAGTCTGTTAACGCGGCTACCTGGAAGGTGACTGAGACCATCCATGAAAGCGCGTGGCACAGTGTGCCGACCAGTCAGCGGCCACAGATGTTGGTGCCGCAGCGCTGGGGTTGAGGACTCTCATTGCCCGGGCTGGTGGTCACGCTTTTCATCCCTGCTGCCCTCAGCCGGCCCCTGCTCCCCACTCAGCTCGGGTGACTTAGAAATTCTCTCTCCTGGGTTCGTCATCATCCAGAGCCTTCAATCCTGGGACCCAGGAGATGTTTTCAAGGCCTCAAGGCCTTCCCGAAGGCCTGTCCCAGAGGCTGCCACCAGCTGATAGTGACAGGAAACATGCAGGCCACGAGTGGCCTTCACGATAACCCTGGCAGTACCCGCAGCCCCCTTCTGTGGTCCCCCAAGTTCTTATCAGCTGCGGCAAGTCTCCTCCTCCGGGCTGGAAGCCCCATGCTGCCCTCCCTGACCCCTCACGAGTGTTTGCAAACTGAGACAGCAGGAGGGAGGGGCTGGGCGGGCCTGAGAAGAAGTGTAGACCCCCACAGAATCTCTATCCCCTCCCCACAGGAAACCTGTCAGTCTATCACCCCGGGGTACTGTTGTGTCTCCCCCAGCAGATGATAAACCCAAAGGGCAGCTCTGTCTCTCTATCCTCAGCACTTTGCACATGACCCAGCACACATCTTGGGATGACGCGAGTGAGCAATTCAAGGAAGGAATTAATGGATTCTCCAGCCCTGACACCTCCTCAATGAAGGCCTCGTGATTTCCCCAACTCTGAGTTCTAGATGCTGGGACTATCCAGCCCCAGACCAAGGCTTCCTTTCCAACTCTACCCTAAGGGCGGTTGTCCTGGACACCTGCCACTGTCCTCTCAGGAGCCCACATTCAGGGTCTTCTGGTGGCAAACCTCTTTCTCTTGGGGAACTGTCCTCCTATTCCACAGGGATCTGGGGGGACTGCCAATCACAAACCATGTCCAGATCCCTCCCCAGCCATTGCTATAGCACCAAGAAGTAACCCAAACACAGTCCTCTCGGGGTCTGAAGCTGATGCTGGATGACACATGGCGGAGGGAACGCCAGGCCTCCCCTGCCTCAGCGGGTGGGAAGAGGGGTTGCGTCTGTTCTGCTACTGAGGCTCAGCGGCCGGTGCAGGCCAGGCGCTCTATGCACGGCTGCCAGTGAAATCCTGGGTTCCTGGGCCAGGAGGGCGGGGCATGGGTGATGCTCAGGCACCAGGGGAGCTCTGCGTTTTGAGAAAAATTACAGACCAACTTTTTCTTTAAAGAAAACAAGTTTTATTTTTATCATCAGAACATTCTAATAAAAATATTATTATGAGATTAGCTACCTTTATTCTCTGGGCCTTGACTCTGTCCCAGGCCTGCCCTGGAGCGCCTGCACGCTCAGCTCCCTGAGGTAGGTCCGGAGGGAGACCCCCGCTGCCCCCCGCCCTCGGCCAGGATACCTCTCACCTCATGTCCCCTCCTCCAGACCCCCACAGCCCTGGATGCCCCATAGCAGCCCTGCCACAACTGGCAGAACTGCTTCCTCCCTCCACCAATCCCCAAGGCAGGCAGGAGCCGTCTGGGGCTGGCACACAGCAGGTGGTGCGGGGGTAGAGGGAAGAGGCGCACCCTCCTGCACTCAACTGCTCCAGCAGGCAGAGCTGAGGGCCCCTGCCCCCAGGCTGGCACCACCGTGGTCGAGACCCTGAGTGGCCTGGATGCTGTGGGTCACTCCCTTCTCCCCTTCCACAGTGGTTGGGGAGTTGGGGAGGGAGGGAAGGGAGAGGAGCGTCAATGTCGCAGTGACGGGGTCCTGAGACAACTCACTCTGCCACCCTGGCAGGTGGCAGCAGACAGTGGCCCGCACGGGCCTGCAGGGCCTCCTGTCTATGGGGCCCATCCCACCGAGAGGATCCTGGCCCGTGAGCCGGCAGACACTTTATTATACAGAAACACTGTCGTCGTCTCCATGGGCGGAACCAACAAAAGCAAGTCTCTCCAAGTCAAAAATAGGTTTTGGATTCTTGGTGGCGGCAGTATCCGCTGAAAAAATAGACTGAACTTCTGAAATTATCTTAGTAGCAAAACAATTACAAGAAAAAAGTTGCAACTTCAGTGCTGTGACTGGAAAGGGGCCTTTGGCCGGCTGCCCCTGTTACCGGCGGCCCCCGTGTGCCCGGGAGCTCCTTTGGGCTTGAGGAAGCCGCCCATGTGCCCTGATGGAGAAAATGCGACTCCAACAGGAGGCCGTGCCCTCACACCTCGACTGTGCTCACAGCTCGTGAGGATCAAGTTACAATACCCAGTCCATTAACTTCTTGCTCTCAGGTTTCCCTGGAGTCAGGCATCTCTGCACAGTCCAGGGCAGCCAGGGGCTGCAGAGGGTCTGTGACACCCACCACGATGCGGCGGGGGAGACACAAACCTGAGGGCACCTGGAGTGTGGAGAGGCAGGAGAAGGTGCAAGGAGAGGCTGCCATGGTGTGCAAGGAACCTGGGATTGCGTCTTTAAATAGCTCTCGATCATTCTTAAAGTCCTCCCTCAAGACACAATGGGACCTAGATTTAAAGAGAAGCCATCTCCCCGCTGTCCCCGGGTGCAGGCGGAGTGCCCGAGCGGTCTTCGGAGGCCTGGGTGCTGGTGGCACCTCACTGAAGCTCAGCCGGGCTGTTGCCGGCCCATCATGGCCTGGCAGCTCTGTCTGCTGTGAAGGTGACAATGCCACAGTCCTCGGGGCAGGAGCACCCCTCACTGCATCCTGTCGGGCTGCAGCTGCGGCGCCTGGTACTGCACGAAGGTGGTAGGGGCTGCGGCTGAGAGGGCCTGGGGCACGGCGGCCGGGTAGCTGTAGCCCACGAAGCTGGCAGCCGTGGCAGGCGAGGCAGCATATGGGTACTGGTCATAGGTGGCCGGTGGGTACTGGGCGTAGGCCGGGCTGGCCGGCGTGTACTCAATGTAGGGCGAGGACAGTGACGGGACAGGGGCGGCCGGGATCACCACACTGGGCTGCACGATGGCTGGCGGGTAGATGTAGTGCGGGGTCAGCCTGTGGGGCCAAGCAGAGTGGGTCAGGGCCAGAACAGAGTCGGGGAACAGCTCAGAGAACAGCAGGGTACACGATGTGTGCCGCCCCCCGCCCCCTGAGCCCCGACTTTCCTCATCAGTTAGATGGGCACAGAAACAGCACCGGGCCGGAGGCTGCTGCCTCAAGGCCTTTGCACTGGCTGTTCGCGCTACCCACCAGGCTCCCTCCTCCCCTCCACGTCTCCTTTTCAGTAAGGCCCTTCCCAGACTGCACCCCCACATCCCAGCCCTACACCCCACATCCCTGGGGCTGGTGCAAAAATAACAATCTTGGATGGTTGTTTTCAAATGACTGAGAATTTGAAGCCACGACAGCACAGCACAAGATAAAGAGCAGGCCCACGTTGCACGTCTGGGAGTCCAGCCCTGTTCATCTCCCTGACACCCAACACCCACCAAGTGACACTGCACACTCAGCTCATGGACATGCCCTCTCCCCCAGCCAACACCTGCTCCTCACAGAGTTTCTTTCTGTCCCTGCCAGCACGGACTCTGGCCTGCAGCAGCTCCGTGAGGACGTGACAGTGACTGCGTGAATGCTGGAGCAAAGGAGTGCAATGGCAGCGACCACTGAGATGACGGCGCCAGCAGCTGCCAGACTCGCCAGCACCCACGCTGGGGGAGACCCGTACTGTGACTGTGTGCATCAACCTGTCGGCTCAGTCTTCCCATCATGAGGCCCATTTCACACACGGGGCCAGGTGACTTGCCCAAGGTCCCATAGCTGATGAGGTGGAGGGGCCAGGAGTCAGCCGGCCTCACAGCTGTGCTCTTAACCCTACCTGAGTAGGCCACTGTGGAAACGCGTCGAGGCCACCACTTCCTGCCTGCTGTGGGCTAGCCATGCAACACCATGCCCAGCTCTCAGCAAGGGGGAAACGCGGCTCAGGGAGGCAGCTCTCCCGGCATGTGCCTGCTCTGCCAACCAGCTACTAGGTGGCCTGGCGCAAGCCGCTCAGCCTCAGTTTCCCAGGTGGCAATAGAACAGCCACCTCCGTGGCATCAGAAGCTGCTGCAGAGCCTGAGGCACGGAGTGGTCTTGCCAGGGCACAGCACTGCACCCTGGGCATCAGGATCTCCTCTGCCTTGCACGCCTGCGTGTTACACAGGCCAGGCCCACCTGGGGGGCAACTTGGAAGCTCAGCTTCCTCCTGCACCCATAGGCAGAGCCCCTACTCAAGGGAAGCAGCTCCGGAGGAAAAGTACAACATCTTCCCTGCATTCTCCTGCATTCGGCAGGGACAGAAACTGGGCAGCGTTCTGGAGCACGTTTTGGTAACATGTGGGCCACTGAAAACATGTGCTCGCTCCCCAGAGTCAGGGACCCTGAGGGTCAGAGAGGACCCCTGGCTTCCAGCACAAAGGCAGGTGTGCTCAGTGGATCCTGCAGCCCTACAGGAACAGTGGGAACCAGGAAAACCTGGATGACAGGGGTGCGGGTCCCTGCTCCTCCCACAGACCTGGCAGCAAACAACTGAGGGCACACCTGGCCTGTGCCTGAGGGGGCACCCAGGGCCTCTTGCTCTCCCCACCCCATCTGGGAAGTGTGTGGGAAGTTTCTACACCGCGTCACCCTCTCTACTGCTGTTTTCCTTCCCAGGTTGAGCCACTCTAATGGCTGCTGTAACCATACCTGCAGCCCACATGGCCAACCCTCCACAGCATCTGTCCAGAGGCCCAGGCAGCTCCTGCCAGGAACCCAGCAGCGACGCCTCCTCTCCCTCTCCCCAGCTTAGAAGGTCTGCTGTCCACCCTGCATTCTCCATGGGAACAAGAGCCTTGCACGGAGCCAGGCCTGGGTTCGAATTCCGGCTCTCGAGCTGTAACGCCCTTCTCACATATCTGCCAGGATGCAGAGGGGAGCAGACCACACAGCCCCTGCCCTCGAGGGGCTTAGCCTCTAGGATGGGAGAGGCACTAAAATGCACCAACGCATAAACCAGAGTCTGTAGGTCGGTAGGGGGCGGCGTCTGGGGAAGTCAAGACAGCAGAGGGCTGTGATGTGTGGACAGCGATGGGGGAGAGGACAGGGCGGCTTCTTGAAGGAGGGGATGCCTGCAGAGACCTAATGATGAGGCAGAGCTGGCCACAGGGGAGCAGCCCTGAGGCACAAGGACGGAGGCAGGCGCCAGTATGAGCATCTGAAGAGTGGACGAGGGCAGCCGGTAGCCTCTGTGCACAACCCTCCAGCGGCACCCCCACCATGGGGGCGGCCCGGCCGGCTGACCCCTGGCTTCCACCGCACATCCAGCTCCACGCTGGTGCCAGCCCACACCCCGCAGCGCCTCGATCCCTCGCCTCCTCCTCACCTGGGCCTGGGACCTGCCAATGCCTCTGCCTGGAGCCCTTGTTCCGGCCCCGCGACCCCACGTGGAGGCCAGTCCCCCACCTCCCTATGCTGCCCGATGCCCCACCGGACAGCACGCTCTGTCAGAGAGATGGTTCTGTCTGGACCCCAGCTCCCTGCCAGGGCCAGGCCTGTGGGAGGCACTGGGCACCCCGTGGCGCTGACAGAACAAAGGCCCGGTGGGCGGCACAGACCCCACTGAGAAAGATGAGGTGCTCTGGCCAGCAGAAGTAGGGGGCCCCAGTAGGGTCTCAGAGGCCTCCTTCGGGAAGGGGGCGAGCGGAGACACAGCAAGGACTGTCTTGGGACTGTGCCCAGCAGGCTGTCCCTGGCATCACCAGTGCCCCCCCACCCAGCTCTCGGAACCTCAAAAACATTCCTTAGTTGGAGGCTATGGAAGCTTTGAACCCACAACTTCTCCAAACATGGGCAGTCATGCCCCTGCCTCAGACACCTCCCCCAAATGTGGATCCCATGTGGACTGCAAAGGCAGACAAGGCCCAGAAATCTGCACGAACAGGCCCAGGGTCCTGATCCACAGCTGCCTTCAAGAACCGCTGCCCAGACCAGGGACACAGAACACAAGTGCCTGGGGCTGTGGGGCAGCCAGGTTCCGCCACACTCACCTCTAGGGCTGCCGTCATTTCCATCGGGTTTCTGATGCCCCACATCATTGGCGCCAGAGCGTTGCATGGGCCACCAAGGAGCTGCCCTACTCGGGGCGACTCAAACACAAGCGTGGGGGAGCAATGTTCAGGCTGGGAGGAACGGGGGCTCTCCTGTTTCCTGATCCTTGCAGACACCGCATGTCAGTATCTACTCATCTTTCTGTACATAAGGGGCCTGGGATAACTTACGAAGCATTTTCAAAGCCACAGAAGGCCAGGCGCAGTGGCTCACGCCTGTAATCCCAGCACTTTGGGAGGCCAGGGAGGGCAGATCATGAGGTCAGGAGTTCAAGACCAGCCTGGTCAACATGGTGAAACCCCGTTTCTACTAAAAATACGAAAATTAGCCAGGCGTTGTGGTGGGAGCCTGTAATCCCAGTTACTCGGGAGGCTGAGGCAGAAGAATCGCTTGAAACCAGAAGGCAGAGGTTGTAGTGAGTCGAGATCACGCCACTGCACTGCACTCCAGCCTGGGCGAAAGAGCAAAACTCCGTCTCAAAAAAAAAAAAAAAAGCCACAGAAAAGATGCTAGTGTTAACCCATTTCCCAGAGAGGAAATCCGAGGCTCAGAGAGGCCCCAAGCGACTTGCCCCGTCACAGAGCAAGGGAGTGGCACAGTGGGGTCTGCTGCTGGTAGCTGTGCCCACAAGGACTGGTTGGGGCCCCAGATTTGGCTCAAAATAAAAGGAAGGCACAGCATGGGCCACACCTCAGGGCCCCAAGGCGGAGTGAGAACACTGGCCGACGTTAAGGTAGAAGGAGCCACGAAGCCCCGCCAGGCAGGAGCTGGGCTCCAGCTGCTTCTCTCCCTCCTAGGGCTGCACCTTGGCCCTGCACTTGTCTGAGTTACCAAACAGGTTTCAAAACTTCCAAGGTGCAGTTTCCTCATCTGTAAGTTAGGTCCTACAGGGGATGGCCTCGAGAGCTCGCTGTGAGGCCCTAGAGGCATCACCAGAGCAGCGATTCCCAACCAGGACAACTGTGTCCCCAGGCGATGCTGGAAAATGCCTAACGACAGTCCTAGTTGTCACAATTGACAACTAGGCATATGCGGTGGGGGTGGGAGTGCTGCTGACATTAGGGGTCGAAGCCAGGGGTGTTGAATGCTTCATACAACGCCCAGGGTGCCCCCACCACAAAGAACGATGCCACCCTAAAGGTCTGCAGTGCCGAGGCTGAGACGCCCGACTGGAACATCAGAAACCACACGGGGAAGGGCAAAGACAAGGAATCCTCACTGCTGTTCTGACCATAAGTGCCCATGCCGGGGGCGGGCCGCAAAGGAGGCAGGTGGGAACTAAGAGATACAGAGGGGCACACGCAGCCATGCACGCTTGGGCGAACCCACTGAGTGGTCAGGTGAGACAGAAAACTGCAGCCAAACCACTGGCCCCACATTGTCCAAGGGCAGCCCCACCCTAGGCCTGCGTCCGGCCGCAGGCCCAAGACTCCACTCCCTGGCAATGGGGAGCGGGTGCATGCGCCAGGCAGGTTCCTCAGCACCCCCACCCATACTCCAGACTCAGAAAGGTCAGGTGCCACAGCCTCTGCACATAAGGGTACGGCCTGGTAGCCGCACACCACCCTACCCACCAAGCTCCAGTCAATACCGTGTGCCCTGCCCTGGCTCGCCTGCCAGGGCACATGTCTGCCTGGCCCTGGTGGGACTCTCCTGCCCTCTCCACCTCAGTGAAGAGCCCACCCGGCCACCCAGGCACTGCCCTGCCCACTCCCCCCAACTGCAGCCCATGCCCACACCATCCAACAGGGGAGCTCCCTGCTTCCATCCCTCAATTCCCCGATCCTCCCTCTCCTTCATCACCAACTCTCCAGGTGGGTGCAATGGCACGGCCCTGCCTTGGTGGTGGTGGCGGCCCGCCTCCCATCCCTGAATCCTTCACCCAGCGGAGGCCAGAGCTGTCTTAAAAACATCAAGACCCATGCCTG